TGCCACAGTTTCGATGGAGGAGATTGGAAGCGCAACATTAAAAGAAGAAGAACAAAAAAAAAAAAAAAAAAGAAAACCGCATTTTTACGTGGTGAATGATGTTGATTGGGGCGAAGCTCTGGTGGTGCTTGTCTGCGTAGACGCTGGGCCACAGCATGCCGAGCCTTTCGTTCGTTTTAATGCAGAAGATCAGCTCGCGCGTCAAAGACTCGGCTGTATTACAATAAGATCTTACAAACACTTCATACATCTTTATAAGCATCAATATACCGCTATCAATCGTCATAGAAGCGACCGAACTGAACCACTCCTAGCGACTACTTGGCGCGTCGTCTGCTAGAATCCTGTTTGCTACGTCAGAGGAGTGAACTCGCCAGGTGGCGCCACCGAAAGATCTCGTCCACGATAGTTGTGCCTATAATGGACAGAAAAGCAAGATATACGATTTCTGCATTAAAAAAAAGATGGCCTGGAATTATTTTGGCTAGCTCCCTCTCATTGGAAGGCTACTCTTGGCATCACATCTGGTTGGTTGTTGTAGGCACATTAATATAATAATGTCATTGTTATTCGCTAAGGTTTGAATTGGCTGCAACCGCCCCCTAAAGGAACTGGCATAGCTACGACAAACACATTGCTCTTAAAATTGCTCGTGCCTGTATTTTCCCGCATAACACTCGGATAGTCAGTTCCTTTTATGTACGGGACAATGCCGGTGAATTACGAGGCTCAAGGTGTGTTTAGACCTAAACGCGAGATCTCAGATGTGATACTTGGCGTGATGTGCGCACGTGAAACATTATGCCCAGTGTCAGAGTGCGGATTGTTGTTTCTAGGTCTAAACGCATTTTTGATTTCGTTATTCGCCGAGCTTTCTCCGTATATAGCATTGCCTGGCCATTTGAGTGGACTGCAAGTACGTTTACGCACGTAGCCCCACGGACAACATGAGCTCAAATACCCGATCCGGCCTTTTCGTCGGTGGTCACTACAATATATATATTTGTCTTCTAGAACAATAAAAAAAATTAAGGAACCTCGACTTGTGCTGCATTCCTCGTTCAGACAACAGCTCCCTTCAAAACTCACAGGTATATCAGAGGAGCATGAAGGACAGTTTGAGCTCATATTGTCCGCACATTAGTTTCGACATGGCATTTTGAACACTGCAATGTTTTTTTCCACGCAGGTGTTATCAAAAACCTTGGCAAAGTTACGTTTGTGTGAATGCTGTACGTAGAACGCCTGCACGGGTCCGGCACTTTATTCGTTAGAGTGTTTTAGAATTGGGGTCCTCAACGCTTTGGGTATCTTGATCAGCTTGAGGCATTGCACTGCTCAAGCGCATAAGTTTTGCGCTGTCTTTTCAGTTTAAAGGAAAGTGCAGTAGTTCATCTTCTCATGCAATGAACCGGCCATAAAGACTGCAAGTATTAGTGGGTTGCTTTAATTAGTGTCCCCACAGTACTGTACTCTATTCCACCTTACGGCCGACCGCAGTGAACACTACAAGCCGTCTCAGAGAATCTTGCTTTGTGCACGTAGCACGAGACTACGCTTTCCACTCGTCGCTAGGCCTCCTCTCGAAAGCCACGTGACACGCACAGAGCATTGGATTGACTGGGATGGCTCGCCGTAGCATCCGTTGTGGTAGATCGTAAAGCGAAAAGGTGTAATGCGTTAGTGCAGCCGTGGCACAACCAAACGCAAGGAGCTCGTCCTTGTAGCTTTTTTGCAGTTGGTTCATGTTAAAGTGAGACGAAGTATGAGCGACTTTCTGCATGGTCTCCAATATTCTCAGTATACAATGCATTGTGCTAAGAGAATCCTGGGAGCTATGCGTTAGAAAGCATTAAATAAAACCCCATGGCTCATTTAGTAAACGTATACATAGTTTAACCAATTTGGAACTACCTGGCTATGTTTCTTTGGTACTTAATAAAGATGCCTGCATCGCTACTTTCATTTCGTGGAAACACAGGGCCAATAATTGCGTTCTATGAAGCTCTTTCAGCGTTACCATGCGCAGGGTTTGTGGGCGTAAGTAAGGGTGATAGAGGAGCTCTGTGGGACACCGATCTCTTACAATACGTGTATGTATTTTGGGGGATTGGTGGCCGATTGTGTTAGCACACTCCAGCTATAGAAGTACGTGGAGGACGACCTCGCGCTGCATAACCCACGAATCCTGGGTTTATTCCACACCCCTGTCTGGTTAGATCTTGATTAGCATTGTACCGGCGTGCGGTCTTATATCACTACTGCGTAAAGCACGCTAAAGGCGCCAGGCTAGCACCGGAACCGTCCTGGCTAAATTTCCCATGTATAGCTGAAGCAACGTGAGCTCACTGTGGCTGACTTCCCGCTGTTTATATAAACAAACACGCAATTAATTTGTGCGCATTGTTTCTGCGGTGAACACTTTTCCAAGCCGAAGTTCTCTTTGAGCCTCGTAATTCGCTACGTCTGCTTCAAAGAACGTGATGGTTACTCTCTTTTTGTTTGGCGGAGAAGGCCATATGCATTTAAGAATTTGGAGTGCTATTGTGAGACGTTCGAAGATACGTATATCTTAGTTTGGAAAGGCGTTATAGCGTGGACTTGACTGCTTGTGAAAACAATACGCCGTTCCAAAATATACAAAGTTAAGTGTACGCAACATGCATTAGGAGAATGTTTATAAATGCACTGGACTTTAAGCCCTTGTTCACATTGATTACATCCAATATAGTGTCAGAAGCCACACAAAGTTGTGAATCGCAGAATAATAATTGTTTTTAGAACGCAGCTCTTAGGTGCCCGTTTCTGGGTTAAAGGGTAACTGCAAAGAAAAAAAAGTTTTTTTTTAAATAGCCTAATTGGGACAAGCATGTCAAAAAACAATTTTTCCGCGAGAAAAAACATTTTTTACAGCAATATTTATTGCGTGAGACTGATTTTAGTTTGCGGCTATTTCGTCCGTTTTAAATCGCGCGCCACGAAGTTGTGATTATGTGACGTCAATCCCAAAAGGTTCTCATTGGCTAAGAGTTTGATTGACAGCTTAGAACTTGGTTGTTAAACCTTTGTTATATGTTGCAATTTCCTTTTGAGCGGCATATTTTTACGTTTAAAGAATAACCCATGTGATGAGAGTTATTATTCTTTACAAAAGGTTTACAAGACGGGCACTTCCGTTTGGATTCATACAAACAAAAGCTTCGCCATTCTTTCATGGCCGCCGTGGTCTCTGCTCCCGCCTGTCTCGCCTACCTCGACTAATCGTTTCGCCGAAGTGATCAGTGTTTCGTCGTTTCGTGCTGACCTAGGTGCTTGAGTGAGACTTCTTGAAGTGAAGTAGTGTGTGTTTAGCAGCTGTCGCAGGTGTTAGTGATAGGAAGCGACGCGGGGTTTTGGCTTTCATAGCGCGGTTCGTTCGTTTTCCTTTGCTTGCTTAGCGTGCTTTTTTTATTTTTTTTTTTTTGTTTTGCGTGTTTGCGCGTGCAAATGCTGACTTTTCGGAGATGTCGGATGCGTGATCCCGACAGTGAGCCTTCCAGCAGCCATGTCGCCCCGAAAGGAATGCTATTTGGCTGGAGGCAATCGGGCGTTCGCGTAGCGACAAACGTGTCCGGTTACGTTCTCGTCATATCGCTCTGGAGGCCGTCGAGATTCGCCCCGTGTGTACCCAACGTCCGCGACTAGACAGAAAATAAAAAAAGCACTATGTCCACTACGTAAAAATGGTCTCAGTTCATGCATCTGTAGGCAGGTACGAAATCGTGCCCAAATTTATTCACACCGCACGATGCAACACGTCGCTGTGCAAACGCAGTCCAACAACACGAAGCATAAAAACGGCAGATTAGGACAACAATTCGGAGTCCATTGTTCAATTAAAACGACGTAATTTTGTTGAAAACGCCCGCAGCTTTTTACTCACGGTATGCGTCGGGAAACTTCCACATTTTGAAACAGAACGAGGCAGATTTACTTTTAAAAACGCTCCCAGCGTCCTCCCGGACCAGTTTGACTGGATCAGCTGACGACGACGGGACTTAACTGGTTGAACGTCAACCCCACAACCAATTTGCGCTCCGTGTTAGCACCGCATTACACACACCACGAACGTTTCAGCTCTGTCGCATCGCCGTGTTGCACCAAACAGAACGAGATCGCCGAAACCAACGCAGCGCTGTCGTGAACCTTGGCTTGTGGTTGCGCACTCGTGGATTCTGTGACTCCCTTCGCTTTCAAAGCGCGCACGACGATTACGAACGATACTTTCCATCTTCCGGGAACATCACAGGGGCACTTCTCCGGTCACGTCTTCGCTACATGTGCTCGCAAACCGCGTCAAACCAAAACAATACCGCGGCCTGGCGTAGTTGCCAGATCTTGCCGGAAGTCGAGACGCCGAGACGCTGCGTCGTTCAACTCCGCAACGCAAGGAGAGTGAGGGCAACACCTCCGTGAGGGGCGGGGCGTACTCCTCTTCCTCGGGGGTCGAAAGAGCGGGAGTTTCAAATGTGGAGAGGTTCTGACTCTACTAAACTACGTCCTGTGGCGTAAATATTCATAAAAAAAATAATTTTTTTCGCGGAACATTTGTTTTGTGACATGCTTGTCCCAATTAGGCTGTTTAAAAAAAAACTTTTTTTTCTTTGCAGTTACCCTTTAAGTGGTGTCCGCGTCGGCGTAACCGTGCGCGCTGCATGATGGGACGTCGCAGTTTCACCGCTAAATATAGCGAGGAAACTGAGTTGGTGTTAAGGCAACGCGACGTCAATTTCCCCACTAAATTTAGCGGGAAAGAGTTCGCTAAATTTTCCTTTAAATATGGCGGGTAAACTTAACCCTCTAAATTTAGCGGAAAATGTAGCGAAAATTTCCCACTAAACGTAAGGCGAGGAGGGGAGGGCGAGGGGAGGGTACGGTGGGGGAGGAAAGGCATAATCTCCCCTCCTTACTCTCCCCTCCTCCTCCTCAAGAGCTGCGCTTCATTAAAGCATTACAGAGACTTTTAAACGTCTTTCATCTTTATTCTATGGCATTTTATTTCAAAACCAAGGAACAAAAGGGGTTCTGAATTGTATGTGTAAGGATTGTGGTTCTAGAGGGACGTATTTATAAAAAGAGATGAAATAATGAAAACTGAAGTAAAAAATGAACTGATGATGGCTGGAGATGTTTCTGCTCCTTGTGGGTACGTAGAAGTTTATTGCGAGTGGGCGTGGCTCCGAGAGTCAATCTTTTCTTTTCTGAAAGAAACGAAAATAAAAGTTACAAAATTAAATGCGTGCGTAAAGTAAAAAAACACAAAAAATACCCTGTCTAGATGTAAATTGCATTTAGCGTGGCTACAAGCGCTTAAAGGTATTCATATGACACCCAGATGTTTTTAACCAAGTGGAGCCGTTTTCAGCTAGATAGTCATATATTTTGAACAATTGCAAATATAACAGACAGCTTCTGCGGCGCCTAGGATGCATGCTACAAGCTGATTATTAGTTCGCGGTAAAGATACGGTAGATTTTACCAGAAAACTAGCATTTCAGTCTTGTTTCATATCTAATAATATCATTCCAATGATCTACAAAGTAACAAAAGGAAATAAACTTACACTTCTTGAGGATGGTGGTGTAGTCGAGGCCATAGCCGTAGTTAAGACCATATGGTGACAAAGCAAATCCGTGTCCGAAGCCGTACGGCCCGAATCGATAGCTACCAAAAGGCCTAAAACCGAAGCCGAAGGGTCGAAGGGTGTAGCCGTAACCCCAACGGTTGAAGTAAACTGGGAACCGAGTCAGTGTAGTCACGGGTCTGTGAGCAGTTACGGCGGGAGTGGTAGCCGTCTTGACCTCGGTCACCTTGGTTGTGTCTCCCGGCGTAGACTCAACGGAAGTGACGTCAGGATCAGTGTCCTTAGTGTCAGTGTGAACTTTGGTAACACCAGGTCCGGCGGCGGCCGGGACAGCTGGGTGCGGGTGGAAAGCTGGGAACCCTGGAGCAATGAAAGTGGTCACCCGGGTGAAAGGGAATCTTCCAACAGCCGGAAATGGGTGGACAGCCGTGACACCTGGTGTCTTGTACGTGGTGGTAACCTTAGAAACGTCGTCAGGGCCTGTGGCAGCGTCTCCGTCGGCGCCAACGTCGTCATCGACTTTCGTAGTGGTTGTTTTTGTCGTCTTGGTCACCTTGACGCCTGGCGTTGCTCCTAAGGGAATCACCGGACCCGTTGCGAAGACCCGGGGGAAGGTGGGGGGGAATGGCAGGACGCCTCGGACAGGTGTCAAGCCATAGGGTGTGAGCACGTGGCAAAAGGCGCAGCCGGCCAGGGCAACCAGGAGGCAGGCACGGAACTGAAAGAAATACAAGTGGGTAAGTGTAACTTTCACGTAACATCCGTTTTAAGCATTCAAAGTAAAGAAGGCCGAAGGTAAGTGCAAACCAAAAGCGAGTCTGCCGAGCAATATATACAGCTTTGAGAATCATTGTGAAGTTTTCTTTTTCGTATATGCCTGAACCAAAGTTGTCCGTTTGTAAGCGTTTCCCTGAGCTCCTGATTTTTTTTTTTGTCGAGATAAAAGTGATATTTACCTTGTTTATATGTACCGAAAAAGCTTACTGCTCCGATATTTTCTCTTCCATTCTCATTCCTCTTTCTTCTCCATGCTCTTGCTTTTACCCTCCTCCCCTCGTCGTCCCCTTCCTTTGATAACAAGTCTATTGAGATTTATGTTTGGTACCTGGTTCTGTGATATCAGTGTTTGAATACAAACACTGCGTTTCAATGTTAGAGTTTTGCACCAGGGTACTACATCTCTTTAGAAAACAGGCGCAGCACGTGAATACTGATAGATTTTAGTGGAGTTGGCTCTTAATGAGCAGAACGTAAGGGCGCAAGTGAGCTGGTGTATATTTAACATTTTAGTGAAAAACCCGAGACTGAGGTAATGACAGGCGACGACAAGGAAGATATAATATAATTGAGGAAATGCTATAATTGAGGAAATGCTGAGCATAAATTTTATTGCTTCACAACCGATAAGTGCCCATTTTTTTATCGTCAGACACTCGTGCCTCACAGACTATTCTAGAATGGGTACTGACCTTGTTCCTTATATTAATGTTGTGAACCGATGGACGAATATGAGTTCCTTCCAGCGTCGCAGACGCTATGTCCATCATCGAGGTAACTTTCACATTCGCGCCATTGTACGCCTTGCTCATACTTGTTTAAAGCTCGTAAATGTAGATTGTTGCTCAGCTGATACACGACTTAGTATTAAGCGCGATGAAACAAAATTAATGCTCACTGCGATCATCGTTGCTTGTTCCAAGTACGTTGACGATGGAGGACAACCAGTGAGAAATACCGGTTAGCGATTCCTTTTATATGAGATGGAAAGAAGAAGATGCCACGAGGGTGTTTTGGCTGGTGCCTTCTCACCCGACCGAGAAGAAAACTGCAAGGCACACCCGAAAAAAAAAAGTTTTTCCATTGACTCCTAGGTCACGTCTGGTGAAAATACCATTGGCCTTGGAGAGTGCAATGTAGAATTCCAAGATTTCGATCCGCCATATACTGTTTAAAACCGATACTGATCTGTTAGTTCGTGCAGCAACATCTTTCAAACAAGTTTGATTTTTTCGTTTTGTTCTATGAAAACGCAGCTTCCTCCCCAGGAGTCCTTGACTATCAATAATACGGATGATGCTCCGCGGGAATTCAGACGCAAGAGCATTTCTGCAAACGATCGTGACGAAAAGAGGGGTAAAACGCTAATTTTCAAAGCAACAAGAGAGCCATAGTCCCTTTTTATTTTGTAGTCTTTAATTGCCTCAGTCCGGGATTAGGTGTTGTATACCGGTTTAATGGTATGTACTACGTATATGTAAAACACAGAAGGAAGGAGTGGTGTTGGGGTGTCTTGCGCGGTTTTTACTTCAGAAAGCATACAAAATAACAAGTCACATTTTCCAAGTGACTAAATATTCACGCAACAGCCGTATTTAAAATGTGAGAGAAAAAATGTAGTGTTCTTTTTGATTTTCAAAAGGACTGAAGTTAGATGACCTGCGAAGTTTAATAAACCCTTTAAAACTGTAGGTTAACTGTAGCAATAAAAAAAAATTAAAACAAAAATCGCGACAATTACACGATTTTTAATATTTGTTTAAATCAGGTATCCCCCCTTTCAGGTATTTTTCAGTGTCTAAGACCACACCTCTAAACTATCACCATAAAAACAATTCAAGCAGGTGAATTGTCACTAATTTTGCTTTCCCTTAGAGCAGACTTCCACTACATACTTGTTTTTATTAATCGCGCAGTTTGAACCAACATCTTCTAGATAGACTAGCGGCTGTGTTGAACACCCGAAAACAAAATGCAGTAATAGAGCCATGCAACCCTAAATGTGTTGTTTTACACACTATACACCCTTTAAGGGCTCATCACTCTGGCGAAGAGTGCCAAGTCACTGGCTGTGGGCGGATGCGTGGCGCCTGACAGCTTCCAGAGGAGAGCTGCTACACATGTCCAGAGCGCAACCTACACACGCTTGGGCACAGATGGCAACAAGTAGAAGGCGATGACTACAATGCTCGATAGGGCGTGCATTTTCGAATACGTAAGTCTCTTCTTCAAAAATAGTCACAGAGGAGAGATAGGTAGAAGTTTGTTAGGCTAATTGGTGTTGATGAAGTACTTTGTTGTAAGCCGGAAATTATAGCCATCTAATAACCAATCATATAATATGCGCCGTAAGACAGCGGACTCTTGTTAATGAAAGATTAGCAATGTCGATCGTGATGCACATCGACCCACAGAAATATCAATATTACAAATTGCTCTCAAGTACAGGCGCACAGCTCCACAGAAATGCGCGGATGAACGACGCATCAAAATGCATGAGTTCCTATTACTTTTTGACACACGCTCTCTGAAATGCTTGTGAATAGAAATAGTGGCGCTTTCACATTAAATAACATCCGTTCCTGCCTTTTTGAAGTTCACTATACCATATCTCATGTAAATGAAGAGGTGACCGGAAGTGAGTGAGAAAAATATTCGGCACTAGGTTAAGAAAAAAATTAAGTACGAACAGTAGTACTTTCTAAAATTGCAATAAGCGCAAATGATCAGTAAGTAGCAGTAATTAAAGATCTCCCATCCTATTCTGATTTGAACTTGAGAATTCCAGACGACGAGAGATTTAATTCAAAGCACTATTTAAACCAACAAGTTCCTGACTGCATCAACAAGGTAATGTGTGATATTGGTGTGTGTACCTGCGAACGATTTGCAAGATACAGACCATCTCCGCTTACGCGAGGTGATTTATGAGCTATAGGTCTACTTATGGCCGCAGTGTCATAGGGTCCACGTGGAATGTGTCTTTTTTTTTTTTTTAGAAAGAGTCCGGTCAGCGCGTAACGAAGGTTTTATAGCTTGTCTCAATATCAGCGCGATCTCTAGCCTGAACCTTGTTGCTCCATGGTTTATATTCAATGAGAATGTGGTCGACGTGACGCGCTGCTCGTCCTCTTGCAGAAAGGGCAAGAGGGTAGGAGTTGCCAAACAAGGTCAGCATAGTAGGAACGTTAGTACAACGATCAGTGTTGATATTCGCACAAATCGCGATGAGCACCGAAGGCCGTTGAATACTGTGCAATGTTCGCTAAAAATACTGCTCGACGCCTTTTGCGTTTGTCGTATATCCGACGAGCGGATCAGGAAGCACAACCAGTCAGGTTGGGTACACGAGTGAGTTTCTCTTTTATTCCTTGTCTTCTAATACTGTAGCTGCTTCCAGTGCACAGTTCTTAAAGTATTATAGAACATCGTTTCGTTAATATCTAGAAAAACTAGCAACGAATGGTCTTACAATGAGTCCCTTGCGCGTGCTCTAGGGACCCATAGATGCTGTAGGCAAGGAAGTCACAAATGTTATAGGCAAGGAAGCCATATTCTTGGTTGCGTGTAGTGATCCTTCACGTTATGACTGTGGGTGCGTAGAGAAAGTGGAAATGACAATCAAGTGTATTCAATTTAGGCTCATAACTTTTCGGTCGGTCTCAACTATGTATAAACCACGTGCTTCCGAAAGTTACGTGACGTGACCCGTTTGTCCTTTGCCTGAGGTTCTTACACGTCCAGTACGCAGGGGCTTTGCGCGTCTACTTCGTGTCTTCTGCCGAAGTTCATCTTCTCCGTAACCGTTACTTCTCCCTCCAAATTCTAGAGCTTGAAATCAAGAGTCTGGCATTTGGCAAAATCCGACCATAAGGAACTAAGTTCTCATGCGCCTTCTCATCATGAGCTTTGCTGGACTGTAGCCGTTTTCTGGAAGGGAAGGAGAAAGGGGGAGGGGGGGGGTGCCGTTCTATTTGAGTGCCTGGAACGCGTCTCCGACTGGTGTGTCTACCGGGTCCAAAAAAAAGTGGTACCTCGATTTCGGCCTGATGGCGTCATAGAAGTGTCATGCTGTCACCGGTCGCGAACCTGGCGGCGTCCCAATAATTGTGGTGTATGTGGCAGACGCCTGTTCTGCTGCGGGTCGCTCTCCAAAGCGGCAGTCCACGTAAGCTAAGGCAGCCGGAAGTTGGGACGCTTGGAACGCCGTGAGGACAGCGACAATCGCGTTCGCCTGTGGTTCTCGCCAGCATTTCTACGACCAACCGCCAGGCTCGCGACATGCAACAGCATGACACTCCGGCTTCTGTGACGTCTTTTGTTGCCACTTTGGGACCCCTATTGATGTATGGGCGGGATAGGACGCTAAACACACGAGTCGGAAACGCACTCCGGGCGCCATAGTTCTACTGAAGCGCGCACAAGGATTGTCAGTCTTCCTTAAAGTTCGTTCGATTATTTTAAGATCAAACTTCACGAAACTGCTGCTTTATGTAAATTTCAGGCTGGACTGTTTTGAGGTGGAAGCCCGAGTATTTTAAAAATTCAGCATTTCTGACCAGCCGACCACTCGAAATTGAAGGCCGTTGTCGATAAATACGTTTTCTGGTGTGGCGTGCCTGACGTATGTATATTTCAAGTGGTCGATAATGGTTGTTGTTAACAAGCTCGTGAGTGGCGCAAGTTCTGGGAATTTGGAATAATAACCGGTGACAAACAAATACCATTTTCAGAGGTCCATGCCAACATGTTGCCAAGGCTTTTCAGGAAAAGGAGGTGGTCTTAATGACTCTCATATGTTGCTCGTTATTCGGATGTACTGACGGCAATCTTAAACAAAGTCTTTTATTTCGGTCAATATACTACGCCACCATAAAGATGCGGCAAATTTTATTCAAGATTTCTTGTTTTATGAACTGAGGCACAAGGATCCGTGACTCTTTGCTTACAAGTCCCTAATTCACAGGAGTATCGGTCAGGCATTGCCGAAAATCCTTACACGCCTTATGTACCGGGATAAATCGAGAAAATAACCCGCCTTTTTGGCCAGCATAAACTGCGCACTTCAGTAAGCTGAAACTCCGTGAGAGTGTGACGCTAGCGGTGGTAAGAAAATGTTGAAAATGTGAAAACCTGACGTGGCACCTAGATAAAAAAACAACAACAAAGAAGACGTTTTTTTATGAGCCGACATTCACCTGTACTTGGGACAACTTTCTGTGGCAACAGAGCCAGAGTAATCGTTCTTTTTAGATTTGGTTTGACAATGTTACTACAAAATTATAAAATTAGTCAGGTTTAAGCTCCTTCAGGTTTTCTTGGTTTAAGTTCGCCGCAGGTATCCTAGTTCCCTGAAAACCAATGATGACGTCTTGATCGTGTGCACCGTTGGGTATCATCGGTGTGATGTATCGTGGGCACCTTCTGTGAACTCGCCGCTTGGTTCGCCCTGTAGGATTTTGACGATGTTAGGCAACAAAAAGTTGTCAAAACAAACCAAGCAAGTCGTGTGTAACGTGTACAAACAAGTCACGCAAAGGGAACCGGGACTTTCTATTTTTTCCTTGTACTGGTTGGTTAGCGAGCTCACCGGCCTAAGCGAGCAGGGGTGGGGATTGAGCCCAGGATCCCTAGGCTTTGCTGCGCGAGCTTTCGCCATACGTTTCCGGATATGTAGTGCCCCACCGACCCCCTTAGTGCCAGCGGTAATTGTACACTATCCAAATTGAATTTGACTCCGCGCCGTGGGATGTGCGGGATTCTATTTCGGTATTGTTGTATTCAGAGCATTTATTAAATCGACGCTGCATATCTGCGTCGGTCGCAAGACAAACAATATGTGAGGAGAGCGACCACGGTGTAATTCATCTTGTAAGTCGGTCGGAGTGCTCCAGTCAAAGCGGTAGCTTGTGTATCAGAATAAGTGTAATGTTG